GTTGATTGTGGATCCAAGTAAAATAAAATCCTTGACAACTTCAATCTTTTCTCTATTTATCATGATGTTGCTTATTGGTCCAGTTGTGTGGATTTTTGTTTTCTTTATGTTGAGGTGTACTCCATATTGAAGTCTTGATCTTCATCAGGAAGTGCTTCAAGTCCTCTTTGCTTTCAGCAAGCAACATTGTGTCATCTGCATATCTCAGGTTGTTAATGTGTCTTCCTTCAATCCTGATGCCTCATTCTTCTTTATATAGTCCAGTTTCTCAGAGTATCTGGCCCATAGCAAGTACTCAATAAAAGTGTTGAAAAAATGAGTAGAGAGATAAACAGACAAATAAAGGTCCCAGTGAAAATGGTCTTCCATTGTTATTGGATGGTTACAGTATTGGCAGAGACAAATGGAAACAATAAGGTTCTAAACAGACTCAGGGTTCATGTAGGGAGAGAAGGAGGGTTAATAAGCCTCCAATCTGAGAACTATGGGGGTGTATTCTGAGATGATAACCTGAGTCAGAAAGGTTTAACTATTCTTAGGGTTTGGGGGATGTCCGTCATCTCTACAACTGACTCTTCAATGAAAGGTGTTATTTAGGTTAAAAAAAAAAAAAGAACATATTGGAAAGTGTTAAATTTGAAAAAAAGGATAGACAGGACATGGGAGAAACAGAACATTTGCTTCTGCCTGCTGAAGGTAGCTGATATATCAGTCACAGAGAGGCTTCAGAAATATGGGACAGCCAGAACCCAAGTGAGACTGAATGTAAGCACTGCTGGGCCTTGTTCTTGGAGCTGTTGCATCTTCACGGATAGAACCACTCTGTTCACACAAACAGGCTCAGCCCCACCCCAGACTCAGGAAACCATGGGGATTCCCATGTTATATCTAATTCTAGGAACTTTGCTCTGGCCTTGCTCCTAGTAATGGTCTTTGTGTTGATATACTAAGCTTGGGGAGTCCATCTTCCTCTGAGCCGTCCTCTTGGGGCTTGATCATATTTCCTTGAACCCCAGCTCCTATGGAATGCTCTTGAGATGTACCTTTTGCCTGACATATACTCTTATGGCACCTGATCCTGTGTAGAAAGCACTCCTGCTCCCCTCTTAGACTGACTCTGCCACCTTCTTTGTTGTTAACCCGTTGCTAATTCCCAGGACTTTCTCAACGCTCCTGACACATTCCAATGGATCTACCAGGACTTAGTCCTTGACCTCTTCTCATTGGATGCCTCTCACAACCAGTAGAAGCTTGTTCTGATACCTCTTAGGGAAGTGCCAATCTCACTACCAATGCCAGTGGCCAGGACTGAACTTGGAAAGAAGAGTGAGGACCAAGTGCCTTCACAACCTAGAGTATCAGATGTGATGGAGCAACCAGCAAAATGACTGAGGAAAAGCAGCCAGTAGGGTAAGAGGAGAACAGAGAGGGTGATCTCCCCTTTATTCCTCAGAAGCAATTTCTCCAATTAATCTCTTATAAATCTAATCCCATCTTGGTATCTGCTTCATGTAGAACCCAAACTCACACAAACACTTAGAATACAGCCTGACACATAGTAGATGATAAATAATTATTAGTTCTTCGTACTATGATTAATAGATCCATACATCATGTATATATGCTTTTTATAAACATTTACAATTTCCCTCTTAGTTTTCCAGTAAACTTTTTTGAAAAAAATCTTTTTTCTCTCAGCTGAGCCAGAGTGAAAAGAGATTTTCTCCACTGCAGCCACATTGGGGAAGGTCATCGTGGAAATGGTAACACTGGATTTGGCTCAGGACCCAGGAGATTTGATGGAGCCAGGCAAAGAGATCAAAGAGAAGCTGAGCACCCAGGAGAAAAAGAGAGCTGGGACAGCTGCTGGATAATTCTGCGTAAGATGTTCCCTCATCAAAACATTTCAGTTCATATGGCAGAGATTGCACCCCTAGTTTTCCTTGTCTGACACCTAAATCAACTTTAAATGACTCATCTATGAGAAGGAGAAAGAACACAGCAGAGCTTCCCAACCCAAACTGTCTTTTCCTTTTCTTACCTGCAAATGCAAATTCCCAAAATTTACTATACGTAAGGTCTGGCGAAAGGGCACTGTGTTGCTTAGTTGTCAGGTGGGGATACCAATCACTCTGGTATTCGGGGGAAAAACTGTTTGAGAAATAAATAAAGGGGCAAGACTCATAGCTGCAGACAAATCTCCATTCATTCATTTTTTCATCCCACGGATTTCTATTGGACATCCTCTACAAGCCAGGTATGTGCTCAGTGCCTAGGGTAAAATATGATTCAAAAAGAGGCAGTCCCCACCTTAAGGAGTTTCTAATATCAAAATCCAGGCAAGACTATGCGGGATAAATTATTAAAGTTAGACATGATTTCAAAGAGATCAAATTAGTTATGGGCCTATTTCAATAGCTTAAAAAATATAGGACATAGAGCTAATAAGCAGTGAGCTTAGATCCAAGCCAGATTCCAGAGAGGGTACTCTTAATCATCGGTGCCTCTTGATGTATAAAACAAATAACACACTAGAACAGGACCCTTTGGTAGGTAAGAGACCCGTCTGTAAAATACAAACTACTTTGTCATGTGAGTCATCACCCCTTTTTATTTTATTAGCTTTTAAAAAATTAGATTTTGATGTATGGGTTTTGTTAAAGAGAGCACCTTGCCAGTCCATGGAAGTCAGGACCAAGTAACTCACCAAGAGGCTTTATCCACCACAGGTTATAGCCACATTAATTTTCTGCATACAGAGAAAACCACTAACTTACGTTTGATAGCCTAAGCTAACAATTAAGTTAATATGCATGAAACTTCAGCAGCTTGCATTCTTTAACTCCTTCCCAAGTTGAATTTTCAAATTACTGCTTGTAGCTTTAAAAACAAGATACTTAAGAAGCTGGTAGAGTGATTGGCTAAAGCATCAATCCAAAAAATTGAATGAGTTAAGAGAAGAAAAGCTGTAAGTCTTATAGAAGTGGATGATGCCTTGGAGATGACCAGATTCAACCCTTCTCCCTTACCCCCAGCCTGGACATACACACACACACACACACACACACCCACACACACACACACACGCACATATGTACATGCACACACTCGCATACGTACACACACATGCACACAAGCACACACTGTATGAAATTAAGGCCCATATGGGAATCCATATTTTTTGACCACATGTCTTTCAAGGGGTGCAGAAGCTGCAGTGATCTATAACTCAGTTCCTTCTCCTCTTCTCCATTTCTCCCAATGCCAGGGCTCACGTCCTTGAAACTTTTCCCCTCCTAACTCATTTCTGCATCCTGACTCATCCTAACATTGCTGGAAGAGTAGCCTTTTAAAGTATGGTTTTGATGCTTTCCCACCTCTGCTCAAAAATCTTCAATGTCTCCCCATTACTTAGGAAATAAAGAACAAAATCTTTAGCACAGCATTCAAGGCCCTCAACCATCAGGTTCTGACATTTTCTTTTTTTTTCACCTTGAATGTTACCTTTAGTCTGATCAAAGTCAGTAACGCATTCTTTTTTTGTGTGCATGCCCTGAGCTTTCTTGCCTCCTCCCTTTGTCCCTGTTAGTCCCTCTCTCTGCACCTCCGTCCTCAGTATCCAACCCAAATGTCATTCAAGGCCCAGCTCAGACACCAATAAAACCTTTCCAACCCTCCCAATGAGAAGTCACCTCTGGTTTAGTTCTTCTCTTTCACATTTTACTTTAATTACCTACATACAGCTCTTACCTCCTTACTGGACTGTAAGCTTCTTAAGGGCAGGGAACAGCCTGATTCAGCTCTTCACTGCCACTAACCGTGTTTTTAACCTTAAATATTAGTTAAACTAATAAATCAATGAATATATAAGTATGATGTGTGTTAAAAAGTGTGTGTTTTTAAAGCTACCAGTAATGCTAATTATATTCTCAGTTTTTAATTAAGACGAGAAAACGTAATGACTATGGGAAGACTGTTGAAAAATATTTTTCAATTTTCAAATTGTTTTACTTATATCACAGATGCAGAATCACCTGAAAGTTCTCCTTCCAATCTCTCTTTTAAAATACTGATTTTAAAAGTATTTACACGTATCCCAGACAATGCTTTAGGTAGAAAAGATCTTGAGAAGTCCTTCAGGTAAACAAGCTCTTGAGAAGTCAATTCATATCATTCACCCCCTCCCACTCGGTATATACTCTCTCAGGAAAATAAGAACTTATTCTATTTTAAAACTCTCCACAGATAAATGACACAGAAACCCTTGTAGTCCATTCCAATGTCTCTTGTCCCTCCCTGTCACAGTATTACTCTGTAATAAGTTATACTGAGTTACTCGTGCTATTGCTTCATTTAGTCTCTTGAAAAGCAGTGTACACAGTGGTTAAGACACATGTATTCTAACTTTCTTACTGTCTGCCTCTGGGCAATTTATTTCACCTCTCTGTCTCAGTTTCCTCATCTGTAAAACTGTAACAATAATAGTACTTGTTTCATAGGATTTTTGCAAGGATTTAATGAAAGAATATATGTAAACTCTTTAAAACAGTGTCTGGAACCTAGTAGATGATACATAAATGCTGCTATTATTATTTCTTCTTTTACTTTGAATAAGCATGGATCATAGCTGAATATCTAGCACTTTCATACCTGGAGATTTTGAATAAATAAATATTTTTCTAGGTTGAATAATCCTAGTTCTTTTATGCTTTTAAAAAAATCAACCTAATTTTTCAATTTTTTAAAAAGTCCTTCTTTAACCCTTCATCTTAGTGCAGTGAAAAGAGTATTCTTCATATTTTTCTGTTGCAACAGGGATTTTAGAATAAAGCCTTTAAAAAGTATCATCTATTTAATACATTTTTTGAGAGCCATTCTCTGTGCCAGGCACAATAGGCATACAATGTTTTGTAAGGTAAGTATGAGCCCTGCTTTCATAGCACCTACGAATCCTTACCTGCAGAAAACAAAACTCTTTTACCCTTAACCAAACCACTTACCACTGTTTCGAATTCTTTCTTCCAGTAGGTCAGAATGTCCAGCTAGAAGTTTCCTATTGAAAATCTCAGCGGAACGGAGAAACATAGCTTCAACTGCAGAACCTTTCAGCAAAGCAATCTGATCTTCATGGTCCAAAGTCTGAAATCCTGATAAATATGATAATCACATCAGTATTAAGGAGCTATGAATCCTGTATAACAATTTTCCATCATCACCATCATCTTCATAAAGTGATTCTGTAACTGTTTTAAGATTAGATAGTCAAGTTGAGTGAACAAGAATCTATTACATTCCCTAAAATAAAGTTGACTTTTATCTTCACTGAGTAGGGTTTATTGAACACGTTGGGCAAAGAGATGTTAGTCCACACAAAACACTATATATATATATATAAATATAACTATATATATATATATATATAGTGTATGTATAAAAACAAACCTACTACGTTCAAGTCGATTCTGACTTATGGTGTCATAGTGACCCCATGTGTTACACAGTAGAACTGCTCCATAGGGTTTTCTTGTCTATAAAATTTACAGAAGCAGATTGCCAGGCCTTTCTTCTGTGGCACCACTGGGTGGGTTCAAACCACCAACCTTTAGGTTAGTAGTCAAGGGCAAACCATTTGTGCCACCCAAGGACACGCACACACATATGGAGGAAACAGGCTGATAAAAATGAAGCAATCCTCAGAAATCAGAGGCAGACCAATTCTGTTTGAGCCATTATTTCAGTCAGAACTGGTATAACAGGGTCAACTTTGTAGAATGGCAGCATCCATAGCCAGAAAAATCTTTACGTGAAACCAGAGGTTTAAAGGCTATTTGGCTGACTCATGAAACTTTTGTCAATCTGGAGAATAGGTAACATTTTCCAACAAAACCAGTAAAGTCATGTTGGGGTATCTACTCTGAGCTCAGCACTGTATGATGAGGGTGGAGAAAATCAGAGAAATATGAGAAAGAATTTCCAGTCTGAAGGAATATAACACTGCATGGGAAATCCAACATCCTTATCCAGGCTTATAAGGCCTTTGCTGTGAATTGAGTTGTGTCCCCTTAAAAGATGTATACCTAATAACTACAAAAACAAAGTTTGATTCTTTACCTGGTGTTATAGATTGCATTATGTCTCTCAAAACATATATTGAAGTCCTGCCTTTGCTGTGAATTGAGTTGTGTCCCCCTAAAAGACGTATACCTAATAACTACAAAAACAAAGTTTGATTCTTTACCTGGTGTTATAGATTGCATTGTGTCTCTCAAAACATATATTGAAGTCCTAACCTCAAGTACCTGTGAAAGTGACTTGAAGATATTATCAGTTAACTTGAGGTCATAATGGAGTAGGGTTGGCCCTAATCCAATCTGAGTGGTATCCTTGTATAAGAGGAGAAGAGACACAGAGAGACAGAGGGAAGAAGGCCATATGACCATGCATCTACAAGCCAACGAACTCCTGGAGCTACCATAAGCTGGAAGAGACAAGAAAGAATCTTCTCATGGCCTGCCTGACATGTTGATTTGGACTTCTGGCCTTCAGAATTGTGAGACAGTAAATTTCTGTAGTTTAAAGCCATCCAGTTTGTGTATTTTGTTATAGCACCCTTAGGAAATGAATGCAGCCTTTGTAAAATGGTACAGTTTCTGGCTGCCTCTGTGACCTCATTTTCTCCTCCTCCTTCTCAATCATTGTGCTCCCAACACACTGACCTCCTTTAAACACAGAACCTGCTTCTGCCTCAAGGGTGAATGCTCTTCCCCAGATATCCCCATGACCTACTTCCTCACTG